ATTGCACCTTCTCAGGACCCCGCAGGACACAGCACCCCAGAATGTTTCTGCCAAGTATGGGTGACAGACATGTAAACATTCTATTATTATTATTTTTTTTTGGTGGAACCAGGGATTGAACTCAGGCCCTTGCATTTGCCAGGGAAGCACTTATTCCACTGAGCCATCTCCCCGGCCCCTATGTAAACATTCTAAATAGCCCACCTTGCTTTTCTGCAGCTCCTGCATCCATGTATTTAACCATTTATCCAAAGGTTGAAAATACTGAAATAAAACTGTCTGCACTAAACATATACAGACTTTTTTTCTTGTCATTATTCTCTAAACAAAAGTGTAATAATAACAAATATTTACATAGCATGTATAGTGTGTTAGGCATTAAAAGTAACCTAGCAGTGATTTAAAGTATTTAGAAGGATTTGTGGGTTTTATGCAAATTCAACAAGATTTTATGCAAGAGCCATGAGCATTTTCAGATTTTGTTATCCATGGGGGATCCTGGTACCAATTCCACACAGATACTAAAGGGTAACTTAACAGTAAAGATGTACATGACATTTAAGTAGGAGCCAGGTTCTATTTCAAGCAACCTATGCTGTCGGTTACTTCTCTTACTACTGGGACAAATACCCAACACCCACAAGTTAAGGGAGGAAAGTTATTTAGCTCAGTTAGTGGAGGTTTCAGTCCATACTAAGCTGGCTCCAAGGTGGGGTGGCATGGCAGACAGGCATCGCAGAGGAGAAACAGTTCATGACAGACATAAGGTAGCAAAGCGAGGGGGGATGACCACAGCTCTTTCTATACCTTATATCTTATCCAGGTTCCTTAGGGCAGGTAGCACTCACACCCTTAATCCTAGTGCTCTTGATTCTAGCACTACACCATGAATCAACTGTGACATGACAAATTCTAGATTCAGCTACCTCTGAAAAAGCCCCAACTGCATGAAGCTTTGAGAAGACATCTAAACACGTATTTATTGATTCATTTAATCTTTACAGTAACCCTAGGAAGTTCTGCATGGTGGCATAGGCTGGACAGGATGCCGAGTGACCCAGAGAATTATGAATCTGCCCAGAGTGGCTTCCTGAAGGTGATTATCAGATGAACCATGAATGATGAGAATTCAAGTTCAAGAGGCAGGGGACAAAGAAATCATACTCCACATGTAAAGCATAGAAATGTGAGATGACAGCACAGTTGGAACATGCAACAGTGAAGACTGGCATATAGGTACCTTCTGAGTGCAGAGTTATAAAGAAGCTTAGGCTAAGTCATTAAAAATTCTTTTGCCAGGCTAGGGATGTAGTGCAGTGGCAGAACACTTGCCTAGCACAGGTGAGGCCCTGAGTTTAATTTCTGATATTGTAAAAAAAAATTTTTTTAAAAAGACCTTTTGCTATTTTAGGGATTTAGACTTTCTTGTCAAAGTCGGGGGGAGAGCTTTCATATGGAGATGAGGTAATCCGTTTCTAATTTACCAGATTTGTGATGAAAGCAAGATAGAAAAGGAACTAGGAGAAAAAAACTTAGAAGGTAAGCTGGAAGTGAATACAGTACGGTTTTCCTCAAGGTGAAAGAAAAATCTAAATTAGGATACAGACCCTAAAAAGAAAAAAAGGGGGGTTGATGGGGTTTTATAGGGAATGGAACTGATTAGCCTTAGTGATGGACTAGATCTGAAGAAGAGAGAGTTAAGTTGGTGACCTGGGTTCCTAACTCATGGTGCCAAGAAGAAAGAAGATATCCTAACAAATGCCTTTAATCCAAGCCTGAGAAGGTTCAGGTAAGAGAATCAAGAGGTTGAGGGTAGCCTGAGCTACACAGAAAGTCTAACACCAGCCTGGACTTTACGTGAGACCCTGTCTCAAAAAACACAAAGGAAGGCAAAGGAAGGAAGGAAGGGCTACAGCAAGATACAGAAAGAGGGACAGACAGATAGAATTCCCTTTAGGTCTAGCAGAGAATTGAGGTGTCTTTTTTTTTTTTTTTTTTTTTTTTTTTTTGGTGGAACCGGGGATTGAACTCAGGCCCTTGCACTCACCAGGGAAGTGCTTATTCCACTGAGCCATCTCCCCGGCCCCTAGCAGAGAATTGAGGGCACAGGGCAAACTACTGTCTCCTGAACTGGAAAAACATGCAGATAATCATAATTTTTTAGCAGAAACTTCTATAAAATCCAGGCAGGAAAACTGTAATTGGAGGCTCAGAGTGAAAGGAGTTTAAAACTCTAGGAGAGGTTTTTGTTGTTGTTTTTTAAATGGGGGCCTCTCTATGCAGTTCAGGCTGGCCTTCAGCTCACTTTGTAGCCACGGCTGGTATCAAACTTGCAACAATCATCCTGCCTCAGCCTCCCAAGGGCTGAGATTATAGGTGTGTGCCACCATGCCCAGCACAAGAAAGCCCATTTTCTTAAGAGGATCTTTAGACTTTTAGTTTTACTTCCACAAACTTTACCACACTCTCACAGTGAAACTATAGAAAATTCCCTTTGGGCTTCTGGCAGGGGGAGAGAAGTTGTCATTTTGAAATATATGCAGAAAAAAAAAAAAAGAAATATATGCAGAACACTCCACTCTTAACAAAGGCTTAGAAGAGAAACTACTCTTCCTAACTCAAGTCTTCAAGACAGTCTAATGGGTCAAGGAAACATTCCTCTAATCCCTGCACTGGGAAGGCTGAGGCAGGAAATCTGCAAGTTCATAATCTGGATAAAAGTGTTACGGTTTGTGTCCACAGCCTTATGCAGTCATGATGCCACACACCTGTATTCCCAGCACTTGGGAGGCTGAGGCAGAAGAATTGCCATGACTTCGAGGCCAGCATGGGCAACATAGTAAGTTCAAAGCCAGCCTGGACTACATAGCAAGACCCTGACTCAAGAAAATAAAAATTCTCACAGAAAGTCTAAGACCAGCCTGGTCTAAGACCAATTTGGTAATGATGAATACCAAACCAGATACAGGAAACTCAAAGAATAGCAAACATGACAGACACCCAAAAACACAGACAAAAAAAAAAAAGAGCAACACATTGGCATATCATATTCTAACTACTGCCAATCAAGACAAATTAAAAAATTTAAAATAAGTAGGGCAGGAAAAGTGTTCAACAGAATTACATTAACATCCATTCAGACAAGAAGGGAATGTTGTGAAATGGTCAGCTGAAGATGGGAAAATCCTTCAAATCTAGAATTGTATTCAGCAAAATTACCCTTCAAAAGGAAAATTATCACATTCTCAACAAAAACTGAGCAAATTTGTCAAGAGCAAATTTTCCTGTGAGGCATGTTAGAAGGAACTCTTTAGAAAGAATGAAAATGACAGAGATTAGAAACTCAGATATGGGGCCAGCAAGATAGTTCAGCGGTCTAAAGTGCCTGCTTAGGCAAGTGCAAGGGACTTAGGCAAGTTCAATCCCTGGTACCACATGCCACGCCTGCTCTGCCTTCAGGGTGGGCTGGGGGGCGGGGAAGAGAGAGAAAAGAAACATCTACTCAAAGGAGGAAGGATACTGAAGAATAAATGGAGGAATTATGCAAAATAATTAGAATAACACATGTTCAGTTTATGGTACTTTTGGACTAGGTGTCCCACTGGCAATTAAGTGCATAGATCATCTCAGAAGACTGATTTTGGGGTGGGGATAGTGTGAGCAGTAGGTCTAGAAGACCTACTGAAAGAAACAACCCCAAAAGACTGTGCAGTTTCACTAAATCTTCATTAAGTAGTCAAGGCAGGTACTTAAATCAATCAACACAATATACTGCTTGGTGAAGGAGTGAGTGGGAGGCACTAGGATGACCAGAAGATAGTAAAACAGTTTGCTTATAGCTGTGTGCAAAGCAGCTGTTTGAAGAAAAATATTTTAAATTGTCATTTATTTTTATTTATTCCTATTGACTTGAAGTACTGGGAATTCAGACCCAGGGTCTTTCCAATAAGCTACAGCGTGAGCCTTTTGGATTATTTTCATGCTGACACTGTATCTGAAAGTGGCCAGGCTGAACTTTAACTTCCGAGCCTCCCGCTTCAGCCTCATTATGGTGATCACAGATCTGTATGCTAAACACCCCTGGCAAAATGTAATTTAACTACATGAAACAATAAAGAGATATCACAGAAAAGTACTTATACTACCACCATGGAGAGAAAAGGGGACTAACAATGTAATATTTTTATTCAAACTTTTTTGATAGTACTAAGGATTCAATCCAAAGGATTCAATCCAGGGGCCAGGGAGATGGCTCAGTGGAATAAGTGCTTCCCTGGCAAGCCCAAGAGCCTGAGTTCAATCCCTGGTTTTGCAAAAAAAAAAAAAAAAAGGATTCAATCCAAAAGTTCTACCAATGAGTTACATACCCCACCCCACCCCTTCGTTTCGGGACTTTTGTTTTTCTATCTTGGGACAAGGTCTCTACACCTTGCGTGGCTAACTTCGACCTTGCAGCTCCAAATACCCGAATTCTTATTTATTTCATTCACACATTCCTTCATCCCTTTGCGATACAGGAGACCTTTTGGTGGAACCGGGGACTGAACTCAGGTCCTTGCACTTACCAGGCAAGCACTTCTACTGAGCCATCTCCCGGGCCCGACGCTGGAGATCTCTCTAGCCAGCGCTTCTCTTTAGCTAGGCAAGCCCTGTGCCTCTGAGCAGCACCCAGCTCTGAATCTCTGAATGTATTTTATTTTTTTAAAGGTGAGCGCCCCCTTTTGTTTCTCGAAAGAAAACGTCGACTTCTCTCACAGAAGTAGCGTGAACTAGGGGAAAGGCTTCAGAGGCGCTGGGTACCTATTTCAGACGAAGGTGTTGGCGAAGGCACCCCCAGCTTACAGATTATCAGTAGAGTCTCCAGAGTTAGCTTTTCCGCAGTCCTCCAGAAGGCACAGACTACAAAGGTCGGAGACTACACGGCCGCAATCCCCTCACCACATCTACCAGGGAGGCCTCCGGAGCGAAGAGTACGCGGGAACCGCGCGGCCCCACTTTATGACGTCACGAAGCACTTTCTCTCTCTGGCCGCCCATTGGCTGGCTCTCCGCGCAGACCTCTTCCAAGCTAGGGAAACCAGTCTCAGAGCCGGAAGTAAGGTCTCTGGAGTTCCAGATAGCGGCAGCATTTAAAGTTGTGCATCTAACGTCACGGCGGATTGTCGGCTTCTCCATTCAGGGTACACGCCGAGCCAGGAGGGGGCTCCATACCTCTACAGGTCTGTGGGAAGGACGGAGGAAGATCGCAAAGTATCCAGCGCGGAACGAAAAATGCGAGACTCGAAGAGGTGCCGGAAGCCCCGTCGCTAGGAAAGGGTTTAGAAGCCTCCCCCGGGGAAGGCGCCAGAAGGGACCACCCCGGGGCGTAGCCGGCGCATCATGGCCACCCCCAAGGGGGCCGGTCCCGCCACTTGGCGCTTTGCTGCCGCAGCTAGCTGGCGAGTGGTGCGCGGACACTGCGTGGAGCATTTCCCTCGTGTCCTCCAGTTTCTGCACTCCCTGCGCGCTGTCGCCCCCGGCTTGGTTCGCTACCGGCACCACGAGCGCTTGTGTATGGGCCTACAGGCCAAGGTATTGGAGTGAGAGGGACCCGGAAAGGGGAGCGTTGCGAGGACGTGTGGAGGGCCATCAGGTTGGGGGTGAGACTAGTCGGAAGGGGTAGCAAGCCCGAAAGGGGATTCTGAACTCTGTATCGTGCAGATGGTGGTGGAGATGATCCTGCAAGGCCAGCCTTGGGCCCAGGTTCTGAGTGCCTTGGATCACCACTTCCCGGAGTCTGGAGCTGTGCCGCCAGACCCTAAAGCTGTGAGTAATCCCTGGAACAAGCCCTGACACCATGCTTAGTGCACCAAAGTTGCCCCTTCTCCAGACTACTAAATCCTGGTGTCTCCAATGTTTCTGCCTTCCATATCCTTCCTCAACAGACAAAGCGGGATCTGAGGAAAATTTTGGAGGCACGGGAAACCTTTCGCCAGCAGGTGAAGCAGCTGTCAGAGGCCTCTCTGGATTTGACCTCAAAGCTGCAGGTGAGACTAGCCGTTGTGAAGGCCGATAGGGAGCTGTTTTCATCCTCTTCTGACCTGCTGCTTTTTCTGCTCAGCAGGAGCTTGAAGAAGAGTATGGGGAACCCTTCATGGCTGCCGTGGAAAAGCTGTTTTTTGAATACTTGTGTCAGCTAGAGAGAGCATTGCCTGCAGTACAGGCACAGCAGGTTTTGTTGGGGTACAGCACCAGGGCAGAGTGTGGGGTGATTGTATCAAAACTGTGGTCTTCATAGCTCTTCTTGCCCGCAGCTTCAGGATGTCCTGAGTTGGATGCAGCCTGGAGTTTCTGTCTCCTCTTCTCTTGTCTTGAACCAATATGCTGCAGACATGGGGTGGCCTCTTCCAGGTACAGAAGCATCTGGGAAAGTAGCGATTTAGGGGTATGGTGTTTAGCTTGACTTTTGAGTTGACCCATTGGAAGTTATGTGGGCCTGAGGTAGCATCTGTTCTACTTATAAGGAGTCCCATTGCTTTCTTTCAGAGCACTTTGTTTCTGATTCAGTGAACCTGACCAAACCCATGGGACAGAATCCTCCTAGGCAGTTAAGACCAACTCTCTACCACAGTCCTCTGCCAAAAGCCAAGCCCAGCCCTGGGAGACCAGCTTCAAGGAAGCATCCTGAATCTTTTGCTGGCCACCACTTCAATCTGGCCCCTCTAGGCCGGCGAAGAATCCAATCCCGGTGGACATCTGCAAGGGGCAGCTCTAAAGAGCGCCCCACAGTCATGCTGTTGCCCTTTAGGAATCTGGACCCACCAAGCCAAGTCATAGCTCAGCCTGAGAGCAGGGAAGAGTGTGGGATACACACAGCAGACACAGGAGGTGTGGGCACAAGAGCAGCCTTCACTGGCAAGTCGAAGAGTCCACCTCAGATCCTGGGGGAAACGACTTTGAAGGAGAATCCACCTGCCTTGTCTGCCTCAGAGCAAATGGAGTGAGTGAAGGGCTGCTTCTCCCTGCTAGGAGCACATTCTTTGCCTTCTTTCCCTTTATCCTGCCCTTTGCTTGCTTCTGTCTCAGGAATTGCTTGGATTGCTACATTGACCCCCTGAAGCTATCCTTATCACCTCCAAAGGCCAAGAAGCCAGGTAGGTGGGCTGGGTCAGGATTGGAACAGGCAGCTTCTTTCTTTCTTTTTATTTTTGTATTTAGGACAGGGTATATATACAGGGTCTCAATGCGTAGATCGGACTCGCAGTGATCTTCCTATTTTCAGCCTCCCAAATGCTGCCATTATGGGCATGCACCACCAGTCTCAGCATGCCCTGGGGGTAGGGCCAGTACTGCAGGTCTGAGGATTGAAGTCCCAGCTCCTGTGTCTGTCAAAGCAGGTGCTTTAATCTGCTGAGCTATTTGGTTAGCCAGTCAGCTTTCTGTGGTGAAAGAAATTTGATTCCGGTTTCCGCCTGCAGCATATTCTCTACCTGTGATTGGCTCAGTCATTACCATAGGAGACTTGGTTTTGGACTCTGAGGAGGAAGAAGATACCGAGAGAGAAGAAAAGGTGAGTAGGATGGTGCAGAAAGCTGGAGAGAAAGATGGGCAGAACAAGACTGAGACGCCCACAGGCTCCAGAATAAGATCTCCAGAAATCATTTCCAATGTTAGGACCCCTGCTGCTCCCTTCTCAACAGGAGTTTCTGGGAAAATATCAGAAGACAAAGAATGACACCCTGATCCCCACTTTCCATGAATACCTCCCCACCTGTGGCTCCAGTGCCATGCCTGCTTCTTCCTGTAACTGCATAGACAACTCTAGACCCCTTTGATACCACAGCAATGCCCCCTGCACTCTGCCCACTTGTTGCCAGCAGTTTAATGGGAATGAAGTGAAAGCCCAGCCTGGGTTGCCTGAAAACATTGCTAAAAGTGGTATAATGCTTGAGAATTAAATTTTGTAACAACACTGTCTTGCTTTTTGTGAGAAAGACTTTATAGAGCTGGATGTGGTAGCATGAGCCTATGATTCCTGCACTCAGGAGGCTGAGGCAGGAGGATTGTTGCAAGTTCTAGACCAGTCTGGGCTACAAAGTGAGCTCAAAGCCAACCTGAGCTACGTAGACCCTGTGTCAAAAAGACAGAAAAGAAGTCTTTCATGGGTCTGCCAAAGTCATTTTTTAAAACTGGCCTCACTAGAGCTGAGAGAACCCCTTTGCGTTTTTCCTTCCTTGGATAGTTACTCATAGGTGCCTAAAAGGGTTACTGTGGTGGTAGGATTAGTGCTGATCCTAACTGCTCACCCTGGACCAGCACCAGATGCCAGCACTGTCTTTATAGTCCATGAGCTCTCTCTTTATTGTCATATTTTAATTAGTGTCAGTCAACACTTCCAAACTGATCTCATTTAACAAAGATAATTAACAAGATATAATTACATTATAGTTATGTGTCATCACACCCAGCTAATTAAGATTTTTACTTTTAAAGTAAACTTTAGAATTGTTTGCCAGGATTTTTTAGGTTAGCACTCTTGATAAGAATTGAAGGATAGTTTTACATGTCTTACAAACTTAGGAAACAGTATTAATGCCCACAAATAGGCTTCTACCAGAGTATAAATGTATCGCATCCATACAACAAAATGCTCGGTTAAATCCAGTAGATGTAGATTACATTTTAATTTGCAGGGTTAAATTGTATTGACTACAAAGAGTAGAGATGTCAGGAAGTATTGTTTATTTTTTATGTTTAAAATTCTGGGGTAGGGACCAGGGAGATGGCTCAGTGGAATAAGCACTTCTCTGGCAAGTGCAAGGGCCTGAGTTCAATCCCTGGTTCTGCCAAAAAAATAAATAAATAAATAAAATGAAATGAAATAAAATTCTGGGGTAGAAGAGCTGGCCAGATAGCTCAGCAGATTAAAGCATCTGATTAGGCAGACATAGGAGCCAGGATTTGATCCCCCGTGTGTCATGCCAGCCCAACCCTGTAGCATGCTGAGTCTGAGACTGGGCGTGGTGGCATGCACCTGTAATCCCAGCACTTGGGAGGCTGAAAACAGGAGGATCACTATGAGTCCAATCTGTGTAGTGAGATCCTGTAGACCCCGTGTTAAATAAATATAAAATAATAAAAATAAAATTCTAGTGTAACATATACTGTATAAAAGAGATTACTTATTGGTTACTATGTATCAAAGCTATCTGTTTTTAGTTTTATTAACTTTGCACATTTTCACAGTACAACCTAGCATAGGCTTAGTTATATCTTTTTTCATGTTAGGCCAAAGACATGGTATTTAGTGTCATTAAAGGAGGGTAAGTTTAAGTATAGAACAATTAAACTACGTCTTTGAGCAGTGGCTGTTACTGCAATTCACCATGTACCTTTATTATATTAAAACCTCCATATCCATTGCCAGGCATGGTGGTGCATGTCTGTAATTCTAGCACTCAAGGGACTGAGGCAGAAGTGCACTCAAATTGCAAGTTTGAGGCCAGCCTTGGCTTCATAGTGAGTTCAGGACCAGCCTAAACTATGTAGTGAGACCCTGTTTCAAAAAAACAAAATTGAAAAAACAGACTTACGTCCCCATATTTTTTTTACATATATCTTTAAACCATGAGAATGTTTATTTTGCAAATAACAATGCTTTTGCCAGAATTTCTCCATATTTTTACACACAGTTTTTTTTTACAATCACATTTTTTAAAAAGGTTTTGTCAAGTTGAAAAGAAAGACACTCAGCTGAACAAATAGCACATTTAACTTAAAGGTTGGGAACTTTGGGAATATCAAGAATTGAAGCAGCTGGGAGTCACATTTATTTGTAGGTGCCTAGATACCAAGATCTAATTAGGAAAACATCTATAAACTGTTAACAAAATTCTCAAAGCACTGAAATTTATTATAAATTGTATCTATATTTAACAACTTTATAATATCCAGAAAAGTACTACATTTTTACAAATAGTACGTATATACCTTTCTATTCAGCAAACAGAGCTTAGATCCATGTGGCCATACCGGAAACCTGGTTACCTGTGCGAAAGTCTGCCCTATGGGGCCTGGGAGATAGCTCAGCACCTACCTGACAAGTGCAAGGTCCTGGGTTCAATCTCTAGTACCAAAAAAAAAAAAAAAAAAATTAGATGGTCCTCAGCCAGTCATCCCAGGTAGAGCTATCATTGAACAAAGAAATTCCACTTAGATTAGCTTTAACTGCCCTTTAAATAGGACATGGGATTAAAATTACTTAGGCTACTGCAAAAGCTCCTGGAGTTGCTGGTGCCATTTCTAGGCATGCTTTGTCCCATAGTTTTTATCACATGCATCTCTAGGTCCAGTGCAGTCTTCAGCCAGCTTCTGGAATGTCTTAACTGGTGGTAAGGTACCTTAATTATTATCTTCCAGAACTTCCATTAAGCATCAGGCCAACCCAGGCCACCTGGAAGGGCTAGCTTCATTTATTCCCTTCTACATTTTTGTTAAAAACAGCACATAGCCTGCTGCCTTTTCTTGTACAAACACATGATGAAAAGATTTCTCTTCAAATGTAGTGTTAGCATTGATGAGTAAATCTAATGGGGAATCCCAGACAGTCCTCACAAGTAAGATGTTCCTGTGTTACCTGGTGCCAAATGTTGGACTCAGGCATGTCCCTGGGCTGTCTGTGAGAAACTGTGTGGACTCCCCATGAGGGTCATTTTGGGTCTGGAACTCTCCGCACTGCTGATGTCATTTCAGAGGCAGACAGATGACCAGCCCTAACCAAAGAGTATTCATCTGAGCTGTCTGCATCAGCAGTACCTTCCAATAAAAGGCCTGGGCTGTAACAACTCTAGCCACATTATGCGTCACATTGGATAGCACTGAAGCAAGTCACATCAGACATCCCTTGGAGGCATCCATGAGGCTTCCTCAGAAGTCACTTGTTTTTTCTTTTTGGTATTTTGAGACAGGATCTCAGTGTAATCCAAGCTGACCTCAAATTTGTGGAAGTTTTTTTGCCTCACCTTCCCAAGTGCTGGGATTACAGGCATGCGCCGCCATTCTCACATCAGTTGATGTACATGTGCATGGCATGTATGCGCACAGGCCTATGCTGGTCACACTCACACTCAGTCCTTCCTGTCCACTGTCCACGGCACATAGCCTGCTGCTGAGGCATTTGGAGCACAGCCAGGGCTGTACTTTTACAGAATTCTTATTTAGGCTGAATTAGAGGAAACTATGCTGATAACATTGTGCAGAATCAGTCACTTAAAAAGTAGTCAAGTCAATCCAGATAGTGTTTTTTTCTCTGTAATTTTCGGAGAGGAATTTTTTAGCTACTTATTTAAAATGTCAACAAAGAAACAGGATTTCAAGGGTATAGGAATGACTTGCTGACTCCAGAGCACTATGGGTACATCAAACAAGTACTAAATTCATCACGAGGTGTGAGTTTGAGAAGACAATTACCAGCATTTTGGGGAACACCTGAGTAACACCACCTACCCCATGTGATGGTTCCAGTTGTCCTGAATATCACTTTGTTTGGCATGATGTGGAAGGGTTCCTTTCCCCCACACCAACCACATCATCATTTGTTATTATTTGATTTGTTGATGATAACCATTCTTTCTGGAGTAATACAAAATCTCAGTGTTGTTTTAACTTGTATTTATTGCCACATTATTGTTGTTATTTATTTTTTATTTATATTTTAGTTCATTTTATGTTATGTCATTTTATTATTTTGCAAAACTAGGGATTGAACTCAGGCCCTTGTGCTTACCAGGCAAGCACTGAACTTACTTATTTTTTGAGACAGGATCTTGCTACGCAATTCAGGCTGGTCTTGAGTTCACTTTGTAGTCCAGGCTGGTCTCAAACTCTCTATCATCCTCTTGCCTCAGCTTCGTGAGGGCTGGGATTACAGGGGTGTGCCACCTCACCCATCTGAACCTTTTTTCAAGAATTATTGACAGTCTGTACTTCTCAGTCTGTTCATGTCAGTGGCCTATTTCTTGAGTGGGTCTTAATTCTATGGCAGTCTAATTTTTGATTTCTTTATATATTTTAAGTATTGGTCTTCTGTCCAAGGAATGGCAGGCAAAAATTATGTCCCACACTGTGGTTTGTCCCTTTATTCTGTTTTTTTCCTTTGCTGTGCAGAAGCTTTTTAATTTGATATGATCCCATTTTATTATCAGTGTTTTATGTGTCTATTCAGAAAGTCCTTGTCTGTGCCTGTGTCTTAAAGAGTTTTACTTATTTTGTCTCCCATTAGATTGTTTCTTTTTTTTTTCTCTCTCTCTCTCTTTTTTCTTTTTTTTGGTGGAATCGGGGATTGAACTCAGGCCCTTGTGCTTGCCAAGGAAGCACTTATTGCACTGAGCCATCTCCCCAGCCCCCAGTAGATTGTTTCTGTGCTGACATTTTTATTTTTGATCCATTTTGTTTTACTTTAATAAGTGGTTAGAGATATAACTTCAATTTTTTTGCATGCATGTAGATCATACATTGTGTCAACTTGAGAAGTTTAGAAGTTTAAGTGACTCAGCAGAAAGCCAGGATTCTTAGTTTGTAAATGTTCTCATCTTGTGCAAGAGGAGTGCATGGACATTGTGTGAGTTCTACACCCCCAGCCCCAGGATAGTTTGTTTACAATATGAGGAAAGGCTAGTGCTGCCCTTCCCTATAAGGGTCTTTGCTGTTTTCTGCTGCCATGAATTGCTGCTCTGCCCTGTGCCACTCTGCCCGGGAGCCAGCCAAGTATAGACGAAACCTCCACAAACTGTGAGCTAAAGTTTGGGTGTCAGGTATTTTGTCCCAACAATGGGTGAAAAGTAACCAAGATAATGCAGATAGCCAGTTTGCAAGTACCATTCAAGAGGTTTACTTTGTTTTTAGAATTTTTATTTTTTTATTAGTGCACATTTATAATAGGTGATGATCACACTCCTTGTGGGGAGTTGGTATATGTACATAACTCATCTTAATTCTTCTCTTTATTCCTTTCCCTTTTCCCCTCACTCTCTCCATCTCTTGGTTC